TATGATCCTGAAGGAAACTTTTGTTCATTATTTGCTTTGCATTCTTATGTACCAAAGTGGTTTATAAAGCAGAGCTATCTGTTGAGTAAAGGTGAACAAGTGAAAGCTGTTCATAAAACCTACACTGTGGTTTCCTTCCTTGTAGAAAGCAAAAATATGGCAACAAAGGAGAAGCTTCAGTGTTTGAAAGATTTCCATAAGGACATCCTCAAGCCTTCTCCTGGCAAAAGCCCTGGAACTCGGCCTGAGGATGAGGCAGAGGGGAAACCACCACAGCGTGAGAAGTGGGCAAGCAAGATTGACTTTCTGTTGTCTGTGGCTGGAGGATTTATCGGCTTGGGCAACGTGTGGCGTTTTCCGTATCTCTGCTACAAAAATGGCGGAGGTGAGTGCCATTATCGCTTTCAGAATTTTTTGCTGGTTGTGTTCATTTATTTTGAAGTGTATGCCAGAATGCTAGACTGCTTCCTAGGTATTACTGCCAAAGCAGAGTACAAATTGTTTGTGGGTGGGTGGGGTTTCTAATGAGGAGTGAGAAAAGGATTGCAAAGCAACTTAAAGTGCTGTTGAAATAGTAATATTTTTTAAAAGGAAGATTCGGGTTGTGTCAGTGAAAGCCAACCCCATTTTCTCTACAGAGATTTTATTCTATTAAGGTGGGCAAAGGAGGGTATTTTCCTAACATTTTGAAAATCTGCTGATTAATCTTTGTACACAAATAACAGTTTCAGAAATGCTGATGGAAGGAGACAGGAAAGATTTCTCAGTAATATTTATATATCAGTATCAGCTGCTGTGCTGATGTTTTATTGCACTGAGTCACAGAGCTTCTCTAATCACCCTTGTGTTTTCTCTACAGGTGCATTTCTCATACCTTATTTCATTTTTCTTTTTGGGGGTGGTCTTCCTGTGTTTTTTCTGGAGGTGGCACTAGGACAGTATACCTCCGAAGGAGGAATTACGTGCTGGGAAAAGATCTGCCCTATTTTCACCGGTAAGCTATTTTGTTTTACATAATGCTGTGGACCTCCGCCTGTATAAAGGCTAGCTCTCAGTATTCTGTTACATCGCAGTGTGATCAAGAAGCTGAGCCCAGGATGGGACTATGCAGAGGAGGAGTAGGTCTGTATACATTGAAGCAACATGATTCTCGGTGGCTGGATTTATTTATTTTATTTATTTATTTCCATTACATTTATACCCCACCTTTCCCGCAAGAGGAAGGTCAAGGGGGCGGGTTTATTCCTCACCCTAGTTGTGTCCCCAGCATACCCTTTTGCTTTTTCCATTCCAACTTAGTGGGTATTATCCAGCCCTATAGGGAAGAATTAAGTGGTGACCTTGGGAGCTCTGTTGCATCATAAGGCAAAGGATGCTCTCTGCCTGGGTTAGGAATTCCACAATAGAGTGCAAGTGTCAAATAAATGCATTATTTCCAAAAAAAATCAATTGGATATTTTTTTTGGGGGGGGGGGGGACAGCAACAAAATACTTATGTTTGTAATACTGTAGAATCTCCCAGAGATATTTTGGACTTTCTTTCATTCTCACCCCTGAGTGCTATCTCCCTCTACTCCTATATTCAGTAAAATACTTGTGTGAATTGGCTTTTATTTAGGAAATTTTTACTTCAGTGAAAATCAATCATACCCTTATATGTTTCAATGAACAGTGATGGGATATCTCATTTTTTATAAGTGAGATTTTTTAAAAAAATTGTCACCCAGTATTCCTAAATCTGTCCTGTCACTTAATCTCTGCAAAATCCTTCTCTTTTATTAAACAGAAAGTTCAAAGTTTATTTTAAGAATATTTGTTTGTGGGACACAAACATACCCTTTCATTAGATGTTAAGAGATGTAAGATTTCCTGAAGCTTCGGTACATATACGAGAAAAGAAATTCAAAGGGACTTGGGCCTGCCCCCCCCCTCTCCCAGATTGTAATGCTTAAAAATCTGAAGTAATGTAAGCTTTTCTTATATTTTAAAAAATAATAGCAGCACTAGGTACTGATAAGTTTCAATATTTACCTTCTTCTTAAGTTGTACACTTCGATATAAAAGGAGGTGCCTGGATCATCTTCTCTGAAATGCTGGTTTTTGATGAGTATGATGTTACCTCACAAATGGTCTGGGCTGAACTGTAGATTGACTGCTGTGACCCAAATCCACACAATGGTTATTGAAGAACTGGAGCATACACAGCTTGCTGAATTACTAATGGGTTGTGTCTTCCAAAATACTTACTTGAATGCACCCTCTGCTTAAATCAGTAGTACTTATTTCCAAGTAACTAAGGAGCTAGGATTATGAAGACAGTTAAATATTTATAGCAGGATATAAATACCTCATTAGCTGCTTTCATGCTGTTTTGAGCAATGGGGGATGTGGTCTTATCTACCAATGACCTTGTTTTTGAAAAACAAACAGGGCAGGTTTCTTTTATTGTAAAGCATTAATTTTAGAGTTAAACATTTATCTAGTTTTAGTTATAGTAGGCATCAGTCCTCTGCAAAAAAGAATGATGACTACATGAGTTACAGCTTTCACTTTGTTAACTCTGCCCATTTGCCTTGTGACCTCCTTGTTATCTCTGGCACAAACTTGTTGCCTTTTCACTGAGAATATTATTATTACCATCCCTCCAGTTACTGGCTGCTGTTTGTAGTAGTTAGTTACAGTCAGAGGCTTAACATTTTTGTTAAAGGGCTTTACAGATAGTCATAAGAATACAACACTTGACTTGCCAAGTCATCGCAAGCACCATCTTATCCAGTAGACCTTGACAAAGGTCAAGCAGATGCTTCAAGGAAACAGAACAAAGTTAGAGTCCAGTGGCACCTTTAAGACCAACAAAGTTTTATTCAAGGTGTGACTTTTGTGTGCACACTTCAAGGAAAGTCATAAATAGGGTTTGATGGGGTGAAAGTAAGCCAGTATGGGCTAGTAAGGAAGTGCTACTTCCCATCTCCTGTTTTGAGCCCCACATAATAGAGTCATAGTGAAAATTTAAATTTTAACTATGGTTGCCAACCTTCAGGTGGTGGCTGGAGATCTAGGATTACAACTGATCTCCAGGTGATGGAGATCAGTTCACCTGAAGAAAACGGCTGCTTTGGAAGGTGGACTCTATGACTATTGGTTTCTTCCCTCCCCCAAACCTCACCCTCCTCAGTCTCGACCCGCAAAATCTCCCAAGTATTTCTCAACCCGGAGCTGGCAACCTTACCTTCATCACAGGGTTTCACTGAGATAAGACACCTCATCTTTTGCACTTGAGGCCTCTAAACTTAAAGCTTTCATAGATGAAGGGCAAGATGACACCCAACATACAGGCCTGGACTGAAAGAGCTCTTTGAACCGCAAATCCAAGCCCCCTTCAAAAGCTGGTATTAAAATCCCTTTAATTTCAAAACAGCTTGCCATGCAGCATTGGAGGCCAAAGTACAAGCCCAAAGCCCTGTTTTGTGCGTGGAACTTCTAGAACAGCTCTTTGGATTTTAGTTACAGACTGTTCTGTACACATAGCAGTAGAACCATAAATATTAGTATCATGCTCCAAGGTTACCATAGAAACAAAAGCATGGAATTCTGTGTTCTGTCAGTAGGCCTAAAATTATATTTTGAACTGAATTTGTTCCATTTCAGCTTCCAGATCCTCATAGGATCATTTCATACTATTACCACTGTGGTGGATTGTCTGATGTACCCTAGACGATCCGGGTTCTAATCCTTACCTGTCCATAAATCTCATTGACAATGCCATACTAAGAAAGATATGCCGTTCTAAGTCTATTGACTTTAATGAATGTAGAAGGGTGTTACATTGCTTAAGATTGCACTGTGGGTGGTCAGTGACATTCTTTCAGCCTAACCTACCTCAAAGGGTTGTTCTGAGTACAAAAAGGGAGTAATCCATGTACCTCTCTGAACTCTTGGTAGGAGGGATGGGATAAAAAGGCATTATTGCGTGATCACACTAGTGGTATTAATCTGCTTTAAGCTGCTAGTTTACTGGTCCTTTTAGCTGACCCTGTAATATCAATTTGATCTGCAGCAAATACCAAGTGATGTTACTTAACCCCCTGCTGTGAAAAGCTTCAGATGCCCATTTCTACACATTAAACGTCTGTTAAAGGACCGGGACATTTTTCCCCTGGGCAGTGAGCAACGCCGCATAATCAGTGTGCCCATGAACATGGTTTCTAATTGTCAGTGGTGACATGTAGCATATTAGTAAAAATATTAACTTGCACATCACAGAATCTACTGAAAGCATATAAGAACATAAGAGAAGTCAATGTTGGATCAGACCAATGGCCCACCCTGTCCAACACTCTGTCACACAGTGGCCAAAAACAGCAGGTGCCATCAGGAGGTCCAGCAGTGGGGCCAGGACACCCAGAGCCTTCCCCCCCAAGCACCAAGATACAGGCAGCCAATGAAGAACAAAAATATCTTGCCGTTGCTGTTATTCAGCTGCATGAGCCCTTTTGTCTGAAGTCTTCTTTCTGTCCCTAAATTCCAAGTTGTCCCACTGACTTCAGCGGAGGTAGCTGATGTACAACAGTTTGATGAGTTGCTGCCAGGTCTAGATATGCAGCAGAATGAAGAAATAGAATGTGCTGCACCTAGGGTTGCCAGGTGCTACCTTGTCGCCAGCGGGGGAAGGTTTTCAAACAGAGGCTAGATGGCCATCTGACAGCAGTGCTGATTCTGTGAACTTAGGCAGATCATGAGAAGGGAGGGCACGAAAGGTTGCCTCAGTGCTTAGTTCTTGTGGCCCTTTCCTACATGCCCCGGGAAATGCTGATTGCCACTTTGGGGACAGGAAGCAGTTTGGCTGGAGATTCTGGAGGTTTTTTGTTATCTTCTGGGCATGGAACAGTGGTCCCTGGGGGTGTGGAGGGGGAGGTATTTGTGAATTTCCTGCCTTGTGCAGGGGGTTGGACTAGGTGACCCTGGAGGTCCCTTCCAACGCTATAATTCTATGATTTGGGGAGTATTCCTGGAGGAGTCCCCAACATGCTGACATCACCCAGAATTGCCCTCAAGCCAGAACATCCCCCCGCAACATCGTTGACATGATAACATGATAACATAACTTCTGGGTGATGTCATCACGTCGGGGACAGCATACAGGGACTTGGCTGTCCGGGGGCGGGGTTTCCCCTGCCGGGTGGGCAGAAGCCCCAAAAACCAGAGGAACCCCCACCAGGACCTGGGGACTGGCAACCCTAGTTGCACCACTTGAACTGGCAGATGGGAGGTTTATATTTATTAGTGTTTCCCGACGTAAGAACCCCTTGCAAATAAAAAAGTACACCAAAGAGAAAGATTTATAATCTAGTCATTTGCATATTGTGCTAATGTTCTATTTAGGAAATTATTAATATAGGGGAACTTTGAAAAAGTCTGAAGTGGTACAGTCTGTTCTGCCCTCACAGTTCTAGATTAGGCCTGTGCCTGCAGAGTTCTAGGTGAACAACCTCTTAAAGTAGCAAAGTCTCACGTTCTTCTGTAACAGACTGCCGTATTTATGTGTGTTATTTCAAACATTTCTCTCTCTTTTTCTTTTTAAACAGGAATAGGTTATGCTTCCATCGTGATTGTTTCACTTTTGAATGTGTATTACATCGTCATCCTGGCTTGGGGACTATACTATCTGTTCCATTCTTTTACAAGTGTCCTGCCCTGGTCTCACTGTCATCACACGTGGAACACGGATTCCTGTGTGGACGATACTCTCAGGAGGAACAAAACACTCTGGCTGTCTATGAATGTCACCAACTTCACATCTCCTGTCACAGAGTTTTGGGAGTAAGCAAGTTTAATTGTTAGTGTTTGCAACACTTTATATAAGGAGCGTAGATTAGCACTGCAATCCTAAATAGAGATGGTTAACCTGTTGCTGCTGCAGCAGCTGCCAATACAGCACAGTGGCAGTGGAGCTTCCACATGGCAGATTTCCACACCTATTTCTCTGCCCCGTTCCTCCCCTGGGCCACTGTTTTTGTTTCCAGTTTTTTCTTTTTAATTAGCAGTGGGATAGTTATATCGATATAATGTTATAACAGTCTCTGTGTTTCCAGCTTTCATTTTAGGAAAAAATTCTATAGCTCCTTTTGTTACGGAGATATGCCTTCCTCCTTATATTTGCTTAATGAAAAGCTCTAGGGACTAACTTAGATAAATCAATATAATGTCCCCTGGTGGTAGGGAGAGGAAATGTCAGCCTTGGGGGCAGGGGCAGGGATACCAGCTGCCGCGTGGACAGGAAAATCCAAACTTTGTCATCTACACAGCCACTGCTTAGGCTTCACTGCAGTCTTTCCCAAACCTTTGCAGCAAAGCAGGTTTGAGAAAGGGACCCCTGGGAAGTGTATGACAGCGCACGATGCTGAGGGAAGCGCTAAAATCTCACTTCCTAACAGTATCAAACTCAGAACATGTCAGTGGGTCTATCAGTAGAAACTGATCCTGGTTTATATGTAACATTTGCTTCCAGCAAATGGCTGGATTTATTTCATTCATTGAAGAAGGAGCTTGGCTTTCTGAAAGGACTTGAGTAATCATAAATAAATGTAAGAACAGATTTTGAGTCCATTAGCACCTTTAAGACCAACAAAGGTTTATTCAAGGTATGAGCTTTTTGTGTGTTGGTCTTAAAGGTGCTACTGGACTCAAAATTTGTTTTACTACTTCAGACCAACACGGCTGCCCATCTGGACGTAAGTTGATAGTTACTAAAGGAATGATGTTTATAGGCTAGATGTTTGGCATTTGTTCTGAACTACATAAACAGAATGTTCCTTAGATTATAAAGATATCATAATCTGCTGATGACTGTGATATATGAGAAAATGAAGCTTATACTGTAAAGTTGGTAAATATTTGCACTAGACTCAACCATTGTTCAGTGTGTGAAAATAAGTTGTGTTTGCAGTGGTTGACCCATAACACAGGAGGATGGGGGGAAAGATTTGAATACTTATGACACTGAAAGGATTTAACAAAGGATTTAGCATCTTATATTAATGAAAAATTTCCAGTGACCTATAAATATACTATATGTATTAACTGATCAAGGAAAACCTCAGAGCTAGCTAATATGTTACAGAGCTCATTTAACAAGTGTGGGATAGTGCTTCTTACCTTGCAAGCATATAAACTTCTTTATCATACATTAACTCACTTGAAATTTAAAGAAGATATAGGTAGTAGTGTTGGTTAAAAGCAAAACTCCAAAATGAAATGCCATGTAATACCTTTTATTAAGACCTACCATCTTAACACAAGACATTGTGCAATCTTTTGAGCTCTCCAGTACCTTTGATCAGAGTGGATGTTCAAAAATGGGGGTGAGGGGTAAGAATTCTGGCCATGATCTTGGGAAAAATGTTCAGCTGACTTCAGTGGATGCAAGGTGTGGTTAGTATGAGGTTGCAAGCATGGCATCATGGGAAAAGGAGCATGCTGTGGGTGCAATGTGATACTTTGCATTCTCTAAAGTCAACTGAGCATTGGTTCTGAGGTACCGACAAACTGCGTTGGGATCATGGCCTGGATGATCTTTTCACACACCCCACCTCTGTGAAAATTTTAGCCTGATAAAGAATTTTGGAAAAATCTAAAGTTTGCACACGGTATTTTGATGGGTCTCAATAAAAAGCCTATTGTTTCTGAATTTCACTTGGAACTGATAGAACACATCTGTCCATAGCATGAATGTGTTGTTGGTATTTGAGCTTTGAAACCTAAGGTGGGCTTTTATGTAGGACGTAATCATTAGACCTTTCGGAAGATGACACATCTTAGACGTGGTTGGCTTTATTGAAATGCTTACCTCCACATGCTGAGTGACAGCCTCTTCCTAGTCATGCTACTGATTATGCATTGGGGGCTGTCATTATAGCTTATTTGAGTTAATGGCCTGTGCAAATCTCATGCTTGTTTGAGTAGTCGCTGGGGATAAGCAACTCCAGCTTTATTTCCAGGACTTACCCTCTGGGATCACATCACATGCTTCAATTTCATAGTTATAAAGGTTGGCCTTTTGTAGTATCTTTTTGCAAACGTAGTATGAAAGGGGAAGAAGCAGGGGACAATTAACCAGTAAACAAAAGCTTTGATTGTTCCTGAAAGCTTGTAAGTGCTTAGGAATCAGCAGACCTGGTTTATCTAAAATCCAGGGAGGCTCCTCATGGGCTTTGGGCATGAAAATCTAGAGTAAGCAGGACAATACTAAATAAAACTTGCTTTTAGGCTCATCTGCCCTTGAAAGCAGTCATAAATTTGAGAGGAGAAGTGTCTTCACTCCCCACCACCACCCTTGGGTGAGATCCTTGGGAAAAACTAATGTATTATGATCCATGCTATTTTAAACACCTCTTCATCTTGGTTGAAATGGGATAGCCTTCCAAGAGTTGTGCAACTTGTCCAGTTCTATGTTTTGTTTGTGTTCTGAAGTCAATGACAAAGCTGATGACTCCATGATCATGTTTCTGGGCTCTACAGAGTCATGATAGTGACAGTTCTATATACAGTTCTCTTCTGTGCTCAGGTTTGTGCAGTCCTAAGCATGTTTACTTAGAAGTAAGTCTCATTGAGTTCGTTGGAATGTAGCCCCCTAGTGATTGTGCTTCAGATTGCAGTCTTTTTGTTTTAAAAGTTAATTTATTTGTATAAAACTTAAATATGAATTTGCTTATATCCTGAGATAATACCTAATAAAGACAGAAGGGTATACATACAAATGCACACATGAAATTAGAGTTTTCAACAGAAGTAGTAACAAGTTCTGAAGGGTTTTTTTTCCCCTCTCCATTTAATTTAGTTGTATTACACAAGTCACCTACTCTGGCAACGGCTTGGAATAATTTCATTAACTTCAGAAGGAATCTCATGACTAGATTGCAGTTTCCGACTGCAACATACATTAAATGAAAGCAAAATCCACACTTGTTATAGGACAGTTTAGGATAAGTTATATAGTGTGCATGCTACTCACTACCTTGACAGTCACTTTAGAGATTTATTTAAAATATTTGTTCCCTGCCTTATGTTTTCAAATGCAAGGTGGCTACAAGATAGCAAAGCCTGCAAGATAGGGCTGCCAAATCCCCCTGGGGGGCAGATTTCCCCCCGCTTTGGAGGTCCGATTTCCGCCCCCACGGAATTGGCCCCCGGGGGAAACCCCACCCCCGCGTGCACATCACAGGAAAGTGACGCCGTGACGCCGGGGACGCTGGGGGCGGGACACAGCCATTTGAGGGGAAAACTATGTTTGGAGGTCCGATTTCCGCCCCCACGGAATCGGCCCCCGGGGGGAACCCCACCCCCGCATGCACATCACAGGAAAGTGACGTCGGGACGCTGCACAGCCATTTGAGGGGAAAACTCTATGTTTTTCCCTCAAATGGCTGTGCCCCGCCCCCAGCGTCCCCGGCGTCATGACGTCACTTCCCTGTGACATGCATGCTGCCGGGAGCCAGCACAAAGTCCCCCGCCGGCAGAGGTAAGTCGATTTGGCAACCCTACTGCAAGAGCACAAACATCATGAGTGTCCAGCAATAAGTTAAAAACAGTAAATAATTAATACACAGACTTAAAAGCAGCCAAAGATACCAACTGCCCACTGGAACAAAACATTCTTACACGTCTACTTGAAGATGGTGTAATTTATAATTTTATGTTTAATTTGTATCTTAAGAACTAGCTCTAAGAGGCTGGATTTATTTATTTTTCATATTTATAGCCTGCCCTTCCCGCGCGTGGGCTCAGGGCGGATAACAGCATATCGACAATACAATAAATATAATTAAAATTTTAAAACACAATAGTACAACATTAAAATTGGTGGTCACAGCCCAAAGTCAGAAACTGAGTGGTTGGAAGAGGTTCCCTGGCCAATTGGTACAGAGAAGTATAGCCAGGTATGGGAGCAGGTTTTCCTCTAAGCTGGTTTAGTGTGAGCTAGCTCAGTTTTTTAGTCTCCGGCTCACACACTGTTGTCTTAGCTCAGGAAGGAAGAATGGCTCTAGAGCAAACTAATTTATGCAATACCCAGATCGCTCACTCACAACTTTTAACACCAGTAGCTCACAAAGTAGAATTTTTGCCCACAAGACTCCACAGCTTAGAGGGAGCATTGGATGGGAGACAGGAAACAGACACCTCAGGGAGGCCATGCATGGACGCCCGCTGCCTCAGCCAAAGGCCTAGTGGAACAGCTCTGTCTTACAGGCCCTGCGGAATTGTGGAAGATCCTGCAGGGCCTTGATCTCAATGGAGAGCATGTTCCACCAGGCAGGGGCCAGGGTAGAAAAAGCTCTGGCCCTGGTTGGGGCAAGATGGATGTCCTTTGGGCCAGGGACCACCAGGAGATGTTGGTCCATAGAGTGTAATGCTCTTCGGAACGTATATGGGAAGAGGTGGTCCCTCAGATATGTTGGTCCCAGGTCGTGTAAGGATTTAAAAGTTATTACCAACACCTTGAAGTGGATCTGGAACTCAACTGGTAGCTAATGCAGTTGGCAGAGCACCTGCTGAATGTGAGCTCGCACAGGTGGTGGCGTCAGCAGGCGCGCCGCCGCATTTTGTACCATCTGTAATTTCCAGATCAGTCTCCGTGTTTAGCCTGCGTAGAGCAAATTGCAGTAATCCGTTCTGGAAGTGACCATTGCATGGGTCACTGTAGCTAAGTCCTGGGGGGAGAGAGACTAATCTACCTAAGATGGAAAATGCATGAAGGAAGGGAAAACGAAGAGGGAAGATGACCCGTTTGCAAGTGACTCAGTAGAGACTTTTTTGTCATGTTAAGGAGCAGCAGCATCCATGAGTCTCTGAAGGACCACAAATCAAAAGTCCCATTAGCTTTAATTAAGTTTGTGTTCTAATGAACTAAACCGGCACACCGGTTTAACCCTTATTATTTTCACCCCAGTCTTGCTTTCAAACACTGTTGCTTGAGAAAGAACTGATTGTTTTTATTGTATCTTTGTGTTTCTTGTTTCCTTTCACACTTTAAGGCAAAATGTATTGAGCTTGTCTCCAGGAATTGATGATATTGGTGTTGTCAAGTGGGACCTGGCTCTCTGTCTCCTCCTCATCTGGGTGATATGTTTCTTCTGCATTTGGAAAGGTGTCAAGTCCACTGGGAAAGTGAGTGTTCTCTGCCCCTCTCCCTACTTATTGTTATGATCATGTTAAAATGTCATCTCTGACTGGAATTAAAGGGTGGATTCATTATTTAAAAAGTAATCCATTCCATACTGAAATAGGTCGATGAATCACTTTGATAGGCTTTAGCAACACAGGTGACAGGGCCAAACTGTAATGATAATGAGGTGTTGAGTCAGCTTCTTCAGGTGCCTAAATACAAACAAAATTTGGGGTCTAAAATTACAGAATACAGGGTCTAAAATTGCAGAATTACCAAATGGGGTCTAAAATTACAAAATTACAGAATTCCTGGTCAAGGTTATGGTTCTGTTGTTATTTTGACTTTCCAGCCTATTTCTTATTCATGCAAGCATTGAGAATGCATTCATTTTTTTTCAGTTTCCTCTTCAGCTAGTTGCACTGAAAACTCAAGAGCTCAAGAACTCTTTAACATCTGGGTTTTTTTTATTTAAATGTGTTCCCAAAGTCAAACATTCAAGATCCCATATTCCATCCCTTGCAATTATTTTTGTCACAGAGCAACCCTCTTTGGTTTTCTGCATTTTTTAGTGCAGTCAGTACAGAGGTAGGGGAAATTATGAACTACCTTAGAGAATGCTTTAAGACATAATTCCCTGCCCACAGGGGTGGAAACGGCATGGAAAGATTGATGTAGTTACATGTGTTGCATTTAGAGACTGGGCCGTCTGCCGGAGTCATTATGGTACAGCCGCCTTTGATATCTGCCTGTTAATCTCCCGAGATTCACTTAAAAGGCAAGAAGATGCATCTCAGGAGCTTTCAGCTGGCTAAACCAATTTCACAAAAACAAAACTCTATTAAACAAAGCAGCAGAGCTGTAATTACCAGGTGGCATGTTGTGACCCTATTAAGAGAAGAAAAGAAAAGCTAATCGGGATTCCACTTGGGGGGTGCATGTTGAGATGCGGTAGGCAGGTCTCTGTTCAACTTTTGGGGCAAACACAGCCAGAAGCAGACAAGGGGCTCCTGATGGGAGCCTTCCTCACACAAAGCCCATTTAAACATTGCATTTTCACATGTATTTCCTTCTGTATTGTTCATTCCTCTCTAGTGTGACTACTTTTCTACACTTCCAGATGTTCAGCTTAGATCTCAGGGTATATATCCCAGGGTATATTCAGGAGAGTGTAGCAGGAGTCTGATGATGTATTTGGATTCTCCAAAGTGGTCCAAGACGTAGTGGATTCTGATGCCACCTTCAGCAAGTACTTTTGGCAAAAGCATAGTGGCATCACGCTTTGGCTCCTTCAGATAATTCAGTTCCAGGTTGATTCCAGTGAGCTGTTGTTGTGCACCCATATTGAACTGATCCATATTTAACTGAGTTGTTTCAGGTGGTCCTTGAACTATGGATTTTGACAAAAATGAAAGGGGAGTATGCCCACGTAAATACACACTTGGAAATATGCTCTAATTTTCTGGTGAAATCAAACAAAGTTATTCTCAATTTGGAAATATTCCTTTGAAAATATTGACTGCACAGAAGAGATCTACAGCTCAGAGAGGGGGGGAAATGGAGCCTAGAAGATCTTTATCACTCAACTTTCACTTGCTTCTTTGTGTAGTTTCTGTATTTTTGAGTCTGCATGCTTCATTGGCTTGTTCTGCATGCATTTATATAATAGGAATGAAGTAGGCTAGGTTCTTGGCTTGAGTCAACAATGCAGCAAGTTGCTATCAAGGAGGCCTCAGTTTAATAGAGGCTGATGGGGCTTTGACCTATCCTTTGTCTCATCTTCTCCATGTTGAGAAGATTTCCGCTCTACTACCTTTAAAAACCTTCATTGAGAAGGTGTGTAAGGAAGAACGGCCGTTCATATAAAATGGTGATCTGCATTTGCCAGAAAGAATTGCAATAAAAAAATAGCGTGCGCGAGAGAGTGAGAGAGAGAGAACAAGAATTGTGCCTAGCATTGAGCTTAGCAGAAGAGTCCTTTGCCCTGTCCTTAGTGGCAGATACTCCATTTCGTGTGGCTTGCTGGATAAACATTTATGCACTTAAATCAGGTTTAGGGGAACCATGATGTTCTACTGAACAATCCAAGACAAAGGCAAATAGGAAGAGGAGGCAATTAAATGACCTCATATTTCAGGTGTATACAAATTAATATATTTGAATCCCTGGGCTCTGGCTTCTTAATAGTAAAAATGATAACTTGTTTTATTTATTTATTTATTTTAATTATTCCTAGGTTGTGTACGTAACAGCAACATTCCCATTCATCATGCTTTTCGTACTGTTAATCCGTGGTGTCACTTTACCTGGAGCAGCAACTGGCATCAAGTTTTATCTTTATCCTGACATGGCTCGGTTAGCTGATCCTCAGGTGAGTTGATAGGAATTGATAGTGGTAATACTTTTTTCCCACGTTTCAGAAAAGCTTTAAATAGGAGAGTAAGGTTATGGCACAGTAGATCTCCCTACTTGTCTTAAGCAATCCGAAGCTAAATTTAAGATTACTTCCATGGTTCTCCCCTCCCTTGCTATATCGTGTTGAAAGGTTATTATTGTTAATATGTTAATGCATTTTTTCCATGTATGTATATCTTTTTATATTAAAAGGATTCTGAGGCTTGTAGACTCTGTCCAAATATAGCATCTCAGCTTTTTTGTTGGTATTAGACTGGACAAGGTAAGGGAGATAATTATTGCTTCAGTCTTTAGTTCTGAAAGGCAACAAAATTGTGGAGCAGCACACAGAACGGTAAGAAGCAATTGTGAGTATTTGCAACTGATTGCAACCGTGTTGTATGGATGCTTCTGGGTCAGGTCGTTAAGGTCAGAAAATGGGAAACAGTTAAATACCATTCACACAAATGCCTGGAAGACACCCCATAGCAAGGTGGGAGAGTCTAGTGCTTAATTTTTCTTTCCCATGGTCCCTGCTACATCAGTAAGGCTGTCTTAAGCTCCTTACATTTTCTTGTCAGCCACAACCACCATTCCCTGGCAGTGGAAGAAATACAAAACTGACAGATGAAAAACAGAAATGCAAATAAGAATATTTATTTTTTTTGAAAAAAAATAATTATTTTGATAAGTTCAGTAAAGGACAAGACAATGCAAGACAGAGAACATACCTATTGGATACAATCCACCCAGAACACTTTGATACCAACCTTGAAGGATGGGAGATAACTCAAGGGGATGCTAAAAAGCTACTGCTTCTTTGTCTTTCAAATGATTTAGGCAGTTCTCTGTCCGCCATATGTGGCTCTAATGGCCAGGGGCAAGAAACAAGTAGAAGGGTAGGATGAATATAGTGTTGTCCGTGACTTTAAAACAGATTTGAATTCTCAGAAAATTGCTGTTATTGTGTTTGCACATATTCTGCTGGTGACTGCACAATGATGATGTATAGAACAGGGTAATTATATATATATATAAATAAATATAGTATGTGGGTAAGTTATTTTCAAATTAGTCCTGTTTTTATGCATTTTTCCCCATCAAAATGTACATTATGGGAGGATGTGATTGAAGCAAAAGGAAGATGTGCTTAGCAAATATTGTCTGCTAGTGTTTCTGAGTATGTTGTTTTCATTGAAGTGATTATCTTTCTTGGAGGTCGGAAGATGCTTATAGGTTGCATAGTCTGAGCACTGCCATTTTCCAACAGAGGTTTTCTTCCTTCTTTTCTTTAGGTCTGGATAGATGCTGGGACACAAATCTTCTTCTCCTATGCAATCTGCTTAGGTGCAATGACTTCCTTGGGGAGCTACAACAAATACAAATACAACTGCTATAGGCAAGTTTCCTTCCATAGGGGTTTAGTGTGTTAGCTAAATAAATGATGTGTAGGGAACCATGGATTTAATTTTTTTCTTTAATTAACTTCCTCCATGACATATGTGTGACTTAGGGACTGTATGCTGCTGGGATGCCTGAACAGTGGTACCAGTTTTGTGTCTGGCTTCGCAATTTTTTCCGTCCTGGGCTTCATGGCACAAGAGCAAGGGGTGGACATTGCTGAGGTGGCAGAGTCAGGTACGATGGTTTTGGTGGCAGTGATGGTGGGCACTGCCACCCAGTGTGTGAGCAAAGTACTACAAACAAAATCAACCCCAAAAGAGAGAGAGATTTTTTTTAAAAAAAAATCACCTTTCAGTAAGCAAAGTCTTAATTTATTTCGAACAGCATAACAGGTTGAATTCTTTTTGTTGTTTTCCAAAACAAGCTAAAATGCAAAACAGTACTTGAAATGTGTACATCTTATAAAACTAAAACCTCTTAAGACTGCAATTTACTCTCTATTGGTTTTGATCCTGATAGATAGGTTTATGGGATCTCCGCAGGCCCACCATGTTTGTTCATAGATGGAAACTATCCTAGAAAAAATGTCTGTTTTTTTTCTAATCGCAACTCTCACATTTCAGTGTGAAGCCATGATGGAATTTATGTCATCTGTAACAAGCTCATATAGAATTTGGGGGGAAGTAGAGAAATCTGTTTTCCTGTCATAGCCTTCCCACCACCACTGTCAGTACATGCACAAGGCACACCTGCCCACTGCTCCGTCTTGGTATGAGCAGTGCTGTGAGCATGTGCTCAGAACTGTTCAACACACATTTCCATGGACAGGTCAGAGTGGACATAGGGATGCATTTCCTACTTATTGTGTGTTTCGTAAAGTAGTCCTGAGCCACTGAAAAAAAATCCAAACCAAAATATATCTCTTAATTTTGTTACTTTTGAGCAAAACCTGCAAATTCTCTTGGACTTCCCTTGGAGCACTTGAGCAAGTGAGGCACTCCTAAACAGTTATGCCTTTGAAGCTCAGACACCCTAAGCCAGATTCTTATCGTGTCATCTGATATCCTAGTCTGTGTACTGAAGTCTAGAGTGCAATGCTTAAACTGGCAGCAATTTGTGCAAATGATGGCTGTAGTTGGGGGAAAAGTGTCCGGGGGAATCCCAAAGGTTGTCCCTGGCCATTATCACCCAAATGACACATTATATTAGTCCATTTGAATGCATAGATGAGACAGTCTAGGACAGCTTTAGAAAGGGAAAGAAATGTGAATTGGCCCTAAGTGTGAAGCCCCAGAAAATCTTTAAGAAAATTTCTAGGTGAGCATACACCTAGAGTTGCAGACGCAGGCTAATGAGGAGGGCACTACGAGGAAAGCTTTTTTGCTCTGTGGTTTCCGTACCATTTTGTCAGAGAGATTCCCTTTTCTTCCTATAGTGCCATTTCAATTATGGCAAGGAATTCCAGTGGAGGTTTTTGTTTCTCCTTCAGTTTCTTTAATAACCAAATCCAGCACTATTCTTCTAGGCAGAGGAAGAAAAATAATAATGTGGAAGTGTAGTGTTTAACATCTCTCAATCTGTTGGCATGTAGACTTGTATATCTGATCTCCGGCCTGTTTATTTCTTATAAAATCCTGGCCACAAGGCAGCACAGAGGTAGACTTGCTTAAGTGTTGATTTTCAACTGGTCTAAGCAATCCTATCTAGTGCTGGATTGTAGCCACTGGTTTCATTTTCCCAAGTCTTTTACTCATCTATCACTTTGAAATCCATTTCTTTGAAAAGGAGGTGACTGACAACCTGACCCTAGCCACATTTACTCTGAAGTAAGTGCCACATGGTCCAGTGATACATACTTCCAAGTATATGTGGCTAGGATACTAGCCTAAGATATGCTGTGAATGCACAGACAATTAAATAACAAGATAGTTGGTCATAGTGAGTTGCATGCAAGAAAACTTGGCAGAAGTTGGGTTATCTGACAGATGAACTGAACGTTATCAGTTGTGTGCATCTGTAATCTAATACAGTGCATTCAGAGCAGCTGGAAATGTGTGTGAATCTAAAATCCCACTGAAGTGGGCTTCGGCAGGGAGTTGAAAAACTGAATTTAGACTTTCCCCTTCTTCCCTTCCTAAAGAACTGAATGGTTGGAGTTTTTATAAAAAGGGCTCCACATGCATATCTTGAACTATTTGATTGTGAAGGGGAGTTGCTAGCAAAGAACCCAATTGAACATGAGGTTTCTCATGCAGCTAGGGATATACATTGGGCACAGACTAACATGAGTGTAACATTAGCTGGATTATGCCCCATTGCCCTGATCCACAGAAAGGTGTTTATGCTCAAGTCCCATTGAAATCTGTTGTACGGGGTGGTAATGACTAACGTACATTTTAGTGATTTTACTGGGACGTAAGCACAACTTATTTTCTGTGGTTTAGAACCCAGGGGGTTATGGGGCGTTGGCTTCTTTATCCTTCCCTTGCACCTTGTTTAAATGGAAAAGAAAATGGAAGGTAGCAAGAGCATCAGCAGTAAGTGAGGAGTGCTGATCCATGGCAAGAATTCTCCCGCTGTACTTCGCGACAAATAGAAGATATACTTCTAGTGGAAAAAATGGTGTTTTAATCTGACTTTCAGAGATTTGAACACTCTAATGGACTTTCTTTTTTAAACAAAGCTTGCATGAAAACTGTTGATTTGTTTTCTCACAATTTTTAAAGCAACCAAAACACTCAAAAGTAAATAACATCTTACCGCTTCTTGGTCTTTATAATGTTTCCATCAGTTCTAGCACCTGGTAAAGTGACCCTGAAAATAAAATGAGAAATCTCATTGTAATGCGATGAATGTTTTGTGCCATAAAACTGAGCGTAGTTTTGATTTCTAGCAACTTGTCCACAGGGATAACACAGAATAACCCACCCTTGACTTTGCTTTTACTAATTATAGTGGGAAGTACATTAGCCTTGTTTCAGTTATAGAAATTTATTTTCATGGTTAAAGGAACAGAATACAATTTCTGCAGCAGTTGCTATGGGTAGCGAGAAATATCGGATAGTAGCAAATGGATTTATTGTAGCAGTAGTGCACGCTAAACTATTAACACAACATGGCTACCAGTTACATCACCAGATAAGACTGAACAGTTATTCAGATAATCAGTTGTTCCATTAGAAAGGAAACCAGTTAAGTCAGTTCATTTGCCATTTTATGCATACACTATTCTGTTGCTCAGTACCAACCCAACTGTGGAAACAGAAGGCGTTGTGTGGGTTTTGCTTTGTCCAAAGAGTTCAGGAACTGGCCCCAGCCGTAATTGCATGTCACATGCCAGGCACCCCTCTCCCATCATAGCTTGTTCATGAATGACATGTGCATGGTTTGGCATGTTTGAGTGAGATGATGAGCCTGGCAATGGATAAGCAATGGCTTTTTTTGGATTTGAGGACTGCAGTTCCTGTTGCATGCTTCTATGTCAGATAAAAGGATCTGAAAGAATTCCATCCTGGAATCTTCAGTTGGGTTTGGGTTTATCTGAATGGAACCAGGCATCCCTTATGGGGGGGGGGGGTGGAATGGGGTCTTGCCTTCAAGGGGAGCTGCTTACTTACTGTCTCTTTTCCCTTTCCCCCTTTCCTTTCTTCTCTCTTTATTCCTCTAGGTCCAGGACTGGCCTTTATTGCCTACCCGAAAGCTGTGAGCATGATGCCACTGCCAACTTTTTGGGCTATTCTTTTTTTTATTATGCTTCTTTTGCTTGGCCTGGATAGCCAGGTGAGTCACCACAGTAATACACAGTGATGGAAAACCTGCATTTGCATGTTAAATTACTTCTGTTGTTTTTTCTGTTCTGAATCAAACACATCATGGATGATTCAGGAAAGTGTTGTGTATCTCTCTGGGCAGGGAAAAGATGAATGAATGTCATCGAGTTCCTAAGTTAGTTCTGCAGTTTAAATATCTTTTTGTTGATCTAAAGGGCACAGGGTATTTGGTATGTTGTGTACAATTTTGGTTTAAAAAGTAACTTTTGCAACCAAGCAAAAAAGGCAAAACATTACATTCTAGAGTTATAATGTACCAAGTTCCATTTAGACCTCATGAGAATTGTGTTTTTAGAATGTGCTGAGGGAATTATGTTACAATTCAAACCTCGTTGCCAATTTTAAGTAAGCGAGACATTCAAAAGACATACATGTGTTCTCTCTTCCTTACAAGTAGGCACCCCTACATACATGCTGTTTATGTTGTACCATCTCTTCAGGCTGCACCTAAGTAGTTTATTTATTTTATTATATTTGTATCCCGCCCTCCCTGCAAGCGGGCTCAGGGCAGGTCACATTTATCGGCAGCATGTGCCGAGTCAGCATAAAACATTTAAAAGCAAATTAAAACAATCATACAATAAACAAATAACAATTTCGTGCTTGCAATGATGGTAGTTCCTTCAGTAAATTAATGGTGGCATGTTATAGAATGTAGTTCTAAAATCCCGATTCAGTGGTATTCCGGCCTCCCACACGGTGGCTCTATCTCCATAGAGGGCCAACTCTCTACCATAGATGTTACTAGTAATAATAATTGGTGGTAGTGGTGGTGATGGTGGGCGGCTCCTAGTTGAAAGCCTGGCGGAAGAGCTCTGTCTTGCAGGTCCTGCAGAACTGTACAAGGTTCCGCAGGGCCCTGATCTCTTCTGGAAGCTTGTTCCACCAGGTAGGAGCCGCCACCGAAAAGGCTCTGGCCCTAGTAACAGCGAGCCTGGCCTCCTTAGGGCCTGGAATCATTAGCCGATGTTGCGACCCTGACTGTAGTGCTCTCTGGGGTATGTATGGGGAAAGGCGGTCTCTCAGGTATGTCAGACCCTGGTCATATAGGGCTTTAAAGGTAAGTACCAGCACTTTGAAGCGAATTCGGTATGCTATTGGCAGCCAGTGCAGCGCCTTCAGCACCGGCCGGATGTGCTCCCATCTAGGGAGACCCATCACAAGCCTGGCCACAGCATTCTGCACTACCTGCAGCTTCCGGATTTGTGACAAGGGCAGCCTCATGTAGAGAGCGTTACAGTAGTCTAACCTCGAGGTGACCATTGCATCGATCACTGTAGCCAGGTTGTCGCAGTCGAGGAAGGGAACCAACTACCGAATCAGCCAAAGATGGTAAAAAGCCAACTTAGCAGTGGCTTCCACCTGGGTCTCCATTGTTAAGGAGGGATCCAGGAGCACTCCCAAACTCCTAACCTCCGGCGCTGACACCAATGGTGCCCCATCGAAGGTCAGGTGCAGGAGCCCCGTCCCCAACCCACCTCGACCCAGGCACAGGACCACTGTCTTCACCGGATTTAGCTTCAGCCGGCTCAGTCTAAGCCAACCAGCCATGGCTTGCAGTGCCCGGTCCAGATCTTCTGGGCTGGAGTCCGACTGGCCACCCAACATCAGATAGAGCTGGGTGTCATCAGCATACTGATGATACCCCAGCCCATACCTCCGGGCAATCTGGGCAAGGGGGCAATGTAGATGTTAAACAACATCAGGGAAAGCACTGCCCCCTGAGGCACACCGCACTCACGCGGGTGTCTCCTGGACTGCTGTTCCCGTAGCACCACCCTTTGTCCCTGACCCTGGAGAAAGGAAGCAAGCCATTGCAAGGCAAGCCCCTGTATCCCCACATCGGCGAGGCGGTGGGTCAGCAACTGATCGTCGACTGTGTCGAATGCAGCCAACAGATCTAACAACAACAGCACTGCCACACCACCCCAATCCAGATGTCGCCAGAGGTCGTCAGTAAGGGCAACCAACGCTGTCTCCATCCTGTATCCCAGGCGAAAACCGGACTGGAAGAGATCTAGGACGGAAGCGGTAGTTTCCTATCCAGGTCAAGTCAAGGTTACACTATGAAATGCTCAGGTTTAAAAATAAACCTACCTTGGTGGCTCTCAAACCATTCGCCAGGCATGCAGATGCACACAGTCACAGAAGCTTTCATCCTCTTCTTTCCCTACCCCCTTCTACAAATCCATCAATTCACGGGGGACAAGAAGAAGAGGGGATTGGATTTATACCCTGCCCTTCACTACCCAAAGGTGTCTCAGAGCGGCTTACAAACTCCTTTCCCTTCCCCTCCCCACAACAGACACCCTGTGAGGTAGGTGGGGCTGAGAGAGCTCTTGACAGAAACTGCTCTTTTTCAGAACAGCTCTTATCAGAACTACGGCTTGCCCAAGGTCATCCAGCCAGGTGCAAGTGGAGGAGTGGGGAATCAAACCCGGTTCTCCCAGATTAGAGTCCGCGCACTTAACCACTACACCAAACTGGCATCACAAAGTGATGTATGGAGGATTTTGTTAGTAAACACTGAATAAAGGGGAAGTGGGGTTTTTTTGTTTCCCATACCTTTTTCACATTCTTAGCATACCTGTTGCCTTTGTTCTTTGTATGGAGGATAAGTCTATCAGTGGCTATTAGCCATGGGGACTGAGGGGAATCTTGAAATTCAGAGGCACTAAACTTCTGAATCCCAGAGCCAGGAGGCAACATCAGGGGAAGGTCTTAGCCTCCATGCCCTGTTGTTGGTCCTCTAGAGGGTTAGCCACTGTGTGAGATAGGATGCTGGACTAGGTGGTACATTGATCTGATCCACCAGGGCTCTTCTTACATTCTTTATAAACCTTATATCCGCACAACACAGCACACAGTTGGTGTGCAGCTTGACCCAAGTAATGTGGGCCTAAATTAACAGGGAGTGTGGGGGAATTGCAGGAGGCCAGATTGGGCCTTCAACATTGTTTATCCTCTCCTATGCTATTAAACAAGGTATGATTAATCAAGAGGCTTTAATAGGTGTCAATCACTATCACCAGTTTTACACTATGTGACATGGTTAATTAGGTTATTTACTAATTAAGAGAGGGGCAAAAACACTTTTCAGCTTGTTTACTGTGAGTAAGCACCCTCATCAAGGTCACAAGGCATTCCAGCACCTTTGGAAAAACAGCTTTCTGAAGCCAGTGGATAGACTGTTTTTGTATAGCTGGACTAACTTACTGTACAATTCATACGGTTATTGTTACTTTCTGGGGAAATTGAAGGTTTGGTGTTTTTCCACAAGGCCTCTTCTTTGTACTACACAAAGAAACCTGTTAATAATTTCTAGACAATTGCTAGTTCCATAGATGTACTGGGGATTTAGGGGGCATTTCTTTGAGGTTAAGATTTTAAATTAACAAGTTCCCATTAATTCTTTGCTAAAGTAGCTTTAATGTCAAATAAATCTACTTGACAGGGGCAGACTGTTTACTGAATTCAGAACCTCTCATATGAGCAGAGATTAGTGGAGTTTTCCCCTCTGGTTGTTGCTCACTTGATCTCTTAAATTGTCAAAGCATTCCATTTGTTCTAAATGGCTCTTTAGTGCTTAATCTTTGAACTCCAGTGAGTGACTTTTAATCGCTTCCAAATTGAATGTTAAAACATGCTCAACGCTTGGTTCTGCAACCAAGTACTTATGTAAATTGTGGGTTGCCTAGTAATTTTAAGTCATTTCTCACTGTGTCGAATAATTAAAACTAATTGGAGCACTTAATGTTTTGTTTGCTTTTGGAGTGCTGTCAAGCAGGATTTTGGAATGCTAGAGCAGCTTATGAACAAGCTGGACCAACCGTTAACATTGCTACAGAAATTACCCAGACTTTTATATAAGGGTGTAGGTTAAGACAGGAGTTTGAAACCATCCTTTCTGAGTGAACCACAAAGAACGAGTGGTTCCTTTACAAAGAGAGAAGTGTGGTGTAACTGTGTGTAAAATAAATTAATATATTGCATGTACAGAAAGATGAAAAGAAGAATGTATGGGACATGGAACATAGCTAATGAATGGGGCCAGTTTGAAAATACCACTACAGCCAAAACCTCTGTGTGCGTGGCTACAGAGGGAAGGCCTGGAGAGCGACCCCCCTCCGGGGACTTTGAGGCGGGTGGGCTGGGGGGGGCCTTGAAAGGATCATTTAAATGCCTCCCTGTGCCTTCTCCGGCCTGTCCAAGGGCCAGCTTACTTGGGCTCCCCGCAGCCGTGGGGTGCCCAAGCAAGCCAAGGAAAGGCATGGGGGTGTGGCCTAATAGGCTAATGAGCTGTGCTGTCAGGGTGTGGCCTAATAGGCTAATGGGTTTCTGCTGTTGGGTGTGGCCTCTTATGCTAATGAGTTCCTGCTGGGCTTTTTCTACAAAAAAAGCCCTGGTTTTACAACAGATGAGTGCCTGCACTGGCTTCTTCTGCTTGGGTTGGGGGGCTGGATTTATATGTAACCTGTCCTTGGTGAGCTGAATAAGAACCATCAGAGAGGCAGCCCAGCTGGTCTTTTCCAGTAAAAACAACAAAGACAGTATGTCCCCTGAACACTTGTGTTCTAATATAGGAAGATCCATTAAATTATGGCGGGGGGGGCGTAATCTGTAGATCAGTTTAGCCTTCTGTCACTGGACTGAAGCAAGTGCCACTCTAAAGAGCTAGTTCTGTGTGGTTTTTATGAGCCACCCACCATGAAGTTATGTGAAGAATGAGTCGGATATGGCCGCATTAGGTCTCGCATTGCTGTTTATTGGAAATCATTAATAAAGCTCTTGGTCACAGCTTTATTGAATTCTAATGTTACATTATAAGCCAAGCTGGAGTTATGACTGCCTTGCAGTCACTTCATAAATGTCATTGAACAACAGTTGCAGTTAGGGAAGGATTCTGAAAGGTGACCTTTCTCTAGGCCTCTTTCTTTAATATGGCCATGCAAGTACTTTCCAACTACAGTGGCTGTTTCACGATTAGTATCATACTTGGTGGTGCTTAATTACATTGGTTTTTATTAAATGAATGCAGGAACAAACTGGGCAATACGTCTTTGTGTTTCTCTAGCCTATTTTGGCAGTCTGCAGCAAAAGCAATTGGTCTTACAAGGAGACACATCCATACCCCAGAGAATTTTGCCTATACTGAGCTTCTTACCTAAGTTTTCACAACTGTTTTAGCTTGAAGAAATGGTTGTTTCTAATGACAAAAAAAAGAGATTTCCCAGTGAATCCAAAGAAAAACTTAAATGCATCACTAATCTGGCAATCTAGCCACTTGGTCAAGCCATCCAATCACTTTTTCTTTATGGGCAGCAAATCAACTTAGATTTTTCCCCTGCTTGCTGGCGGAGGGGCATGATGCTCCCCTGTGTACAGTGCTTATCCATGGGAAGATTGCCCTGCTTCTCCACTCTTCTCTCTCTCCAGTGTAAATGGCTGGGTATTCACATGTGTGCAAGGACAGTCTGAAGACTAGGTGGTCTGCACGTGCCTCTCAATTCCCTGTCTAGATTTCCAAATCTGATTGGCCACTTTGCACAAACTTGTATAACTTGGCAGACCACAGAGAGAGGACTAGATCAGGATATGAAATGTACGCACGGATGTTCCTCTCCTTGGACTGCCCTGGTGTTCTACCTATGCGACTGCACCAGTCAGTGATCTGTACATGCCTAATAAAGTTCTAAATGTAAAAGGTAAGGCGGAAGTCATCAAGCATCCTGAAAACATGGCTCAAAACTGAAACCTTTGACTTTTTGAAAGGAGGCTGTGTGGATTTTACTCCTGTGCTGGAATTGCTGACACTGGTTTCAAGAGGTGCCTTGTTATAAAAGAACGAAGCACTTGTACGTTTGTTCAGTGTATTTTCTTTTCTTCTTCCCTTCCAGTTTGTTGAAGTTGAAGGACAGATCACATCATTAGTTGATCTGTACCCATCCTTCCTAAGGAAGGGTTACCGACGGGAAATCTTCATCGCTATAGTGTGCTTCCTCAGCTATATTCTGGGACTAACTATGGTGACTGAAGTAAGTAAGACTGTGACAGAAGCAGCTTTGCTTTGCTGTGTTTTGCAGTGTGAGTCCATGCTGTGAAGGCAGGAGACAGAGCCCAAAAGAGCAGCAGTGTTCCATAAGGGAGCATTCTGCAAAACAAACAAAAACATTGACAAGCTCTTCATCCAGATTTCAGTTTCCAGAATTCCTGTTCGTTTGAACTCTGCCAGTTTAGGTATATGCCAACTCAAGTTCTGTATTATTAGTACCCCATTTAATCTGATGCTTTCCTCCAGTGCATGTTCTTATAAAGACAATTGTATTTGATTATACAAGAAGTTGTCCTGACTTTGATGATCACTGGCTAAAAACCTGGTTGGATCCAACCTTTATTGTAGGAAAAAGTGAGTCAAGGTTAAGGCATGTGTGGGACATGTTCGGAGTGTAATCTATCATATTGAATTAAGAGCCCATTAGGATGGCTAGAAGGCTCTGGACAATTAGAGAAGTCATTATTGTGTATGAAGGAGAAATGGTAGGCTAAGGAAAAAATATCGGTCCATGCATTAGGGAGCTCCCTAGTGAACTTTACTTGTGTATTTAAGTCTCATAGTTATTTATGTTAAATATCAATTGCCCATCCTAAAATACTATCCTGTAGGAAGGAAGTGCTTCAGCATTTCAGTAAATTACACTAAGTGGCTTAATTTTGGTCAATCACGGTTTCTTTCAAAGCGCCTTCTGTATTAAAAGACAAATTGAGTGCAGGTTTTTGAAAGGACCAAAGTATGCACTTAACTCACTCCAAGAGCTGATTGACACACTTGTGGATGGGTAATCTTCTGCAAAGTGAGTCATAGATATGAAGGATAGTGATGAATAAGGTCAGCTTGCTTTCCGCACTTTTTTGGGAGGGGGGGTGATAGTGATTAATAGTACTCATGCACTGTGTGTGTATGTTTTTCACAGTGTTTCTCTTTTGCAGGGTGGCATGTATGTGTTTCAACTCTTTGACTACTATGCAGCTAGTGGTGTATGCCTCTTGTGGGTTGCATTCTTTGAATGCATTGCTGTAGCCTGGGTTTATGGTGAGTAAGGTGTATTTATTTATTTATTTATTTTATTTCATTTATACCCCGCCCTCCCCGCATGCGGGCTCAGGGCGGCTTACACAGGCACAAAATTGCGATAAAAATACAACAAGTTAAAACAATTAAGGCACAAGTGCAGTAAAAGTCAACAGTTAAAACAGTTTAGGCAAAAATGCACATCTCACAGGATACATAATGACTACAATACTTACTCCCTATTGCATATCCCAATGGGGTCAAAAAAAGAGGGGGGGATGCCATGGGCCACGATATTTCAGCTGGCCAGTCAACCCGACGCGGCGGAACTGCTCTGCAGTCGCATGGTGGTGGTAGTGGCGGCGGCAGCAGCTCCTACTCAAAAGCCTGGCGGAAGAGCTCCGTCTTGCAGGCCCTGCGGAACTGCACTAGGTCCTGCAGGGCCCTGATCTCCTCCAGGAGCTCATTCCACCAGGTAGGAGCCGCCACCGAAAAGGACTGCAAGCCTGGCCTCCATCCCATGCCCTGGGCGAAAGCCAAACTGGAATGGATCAAGGACGGAAGCGTCATCTAGAAATCCCTGTAACTGCGTCGCCACTGCCCTCTCAAATCAGTTTGTCCAAATAGGGCAAATTGGACACCGGCTGATAGCTGGCCAATTCAGCTGGGTCCAGAGTTGGCTTTTTCAGGAGAGGGGGCGGACCATTGCTTCCTTGAGCGCCTTGGGGAACCGCCCCTCTGAAAGTTATAGTTTGATGCCTGTCCTTGCAGGGAAGAGGAAGGCTGTTGCAGGCCGATGCCAAAGCAACTGGCATAGTCAAGTAGTCTGTGAGGTGGGGGAGGTTAGATGGGAGAGTGAAAAAAGCAGAAAATGGCAGAGTGCAAAGTGATCAGAATTCTACAACAACTACGGTAGTAGGGTAATTTCCCTGTTCCCCTGTGTTTCTGGGATTTAACCAGCAGCATCATATTTCATGGGATACATTCTGCCTTGGCCTGAGACAGAGAGAGTTCACCACCATCTGCCATGCACAATTTAGTGCCAGAGCTCTGCTTCTACTCAAATATGTTGAGTTTCTGCTCTGTACTCTTCTGGGACTGGATCACGGGTTTGGGGGTCTGCCAAAGGCTCAGTTCCTGAAGCTTGGTGGTGGCAGAGAGGGAAAATATTCTCCATGGCTGTGCTAAAACAATATCCCTATTTTGCCATGTGGCGGTGAAAATGTAGAACCTGGGAGGATTGGATGGGTTGTTCATTGGAATGTACATTCTAGTGTGAGGGCAATGTAGCTTTGTGTCTGGTCATTAGCATGATCACATAGCCACATTTCAATGTGTGATCTCTGATTGGCTGGATTACATAGTAAAAAGCAAGGAGAAGCCCTATAATTGTTAAAATGTGCAGCAGCTAATCAGGGGAACAATAATTTTGAATACAAAAAAGGGTAAGGTAATCCCCCCCCATGATTCTGTTTTTGTTTTGCATAATTCAAAACCACACTTCAGATATTCAGTGCTGCTCTAGTTATAAGGTCAGCTCATAAAGGGAAGGAGAAGTCTATTATTGAGACTAACAAATCTGACGTCTGCTGTGTTTGAATTCTAGGCGCTGATAATATTTACGATGCCATCGAAGATATGATTGGTTATAGGCCTGGTCCATGGATGAAATGGAGCTGGATGATAATCACACCAGTTCTTTGCATGGTGGGTGTTGAAATATTCAGGTCTCTGTAGAGGTAGTAAATGAATGTTCTAAATAATTAATTCATATAATTATTTCTGTATTGTATAACTTTTATATATTGTATCAGTGAAAGACTGTAAAGTGGCATTATTGAACACACAGAGATGTGCTAAAGCAGCGCAACTATGCAGCTTTCAAAATCCCAAACATTCCTATCAGAAAACAAGCAAGAATGTCTAAAAGCCTCCTTCTTAGTAGATATAAAAGCCAAAAGGGGAACCTGACAAAAAAATGTCTTTTTACACTTTAAAAGATTTAACAGGTTTATTGTGGCACAAGCTTTTGTAGGCTGCACTCTATGAATTGGTCTGTAGCCTGCAAAATCTTATGGTGTGATAAATCTGATAGACTTTAAGACTCCTTTTTGTTGTTAGCGGAGTGTGCTAGTGTGGTGCAAGCAAGGTTATCACACTTGTTGTGCAGCATAGTGTTGGCTGCAGAAGAGGCAACAGTTATTACTTAAATGATAACAGTACTGCTCAGTTTTTAAAAAAACAGGAATCAGGTACAAAGTGGCTAAAATACAGAGGAATCCCCCCCCCAGGTTTAAAATTATTGCATCACAGTTCTCAGAAGGAAGGCAAGCTACACAGTGGGGGATTTCTCATACACAGCATGAGCATGTGTACATTGAAGTGGTGCATTCATTCCTCTGGCCTACCAGGGCAGAGCAGATGATATAGAGATGCATGAAACAGAAAGGGATGAGATAGATGTGGCCTTTTAGATTTCTGATCCTTTAAAGAGGTCTCACATGTTAGTAGGTGAAGAAAGCATGGTCACTTGTGGATCAGAGGCCCCTGTATCACACTCCGGGGGGCCCCTGTGTGGTCACTGTGCAGACACTGGGATGAGGGGAAAAAACCCTTGGCTGTTAGAAAAATTACAGTACTTGTAGCTGTTTGATCAGGGAGAGCCAAGATCATACCCCCCCCCCCACTGAGCCATAAAGCTCCCCAAGTGACCTTGGGCCAGTCAAGGGGAGGGACCATATACACTGCCCTGAACAGCAGGATGAGTGGGATGGAAGTGTAATAGACAACGTGTCCTATTGTCAGCTAATTATTTTCATTGGATATAAAGTGATAGAATGATTACCATTGACATTGCCCACCCATGCAGCAAACACTGTCAGACCACAGTTCTTGTAGCACATCTTCAATCAGACGTTTGTATTTTTTGATCCCTTTACACAGGAATGCTTTATCTTTTCTTTGGTCTCTTTTTCGTCTCTTTACACAGGGATGCTTTATCTTTTCTCTGGCCAAGTATACACCATTGACCTACAACAAGGTGTACATATATCCTGACTGGGCAATTGGCCTAGGCTGGGGTCTTGCTCTCTCTTCTATGATCTGCATCCCTCTAGTTATGGTCATTCGCATAATACAGTCGGATGGGTCTCTCATTGAGGTAAGTTTTTCTTTTTTAAAGAAAATTCACAAGGATAGGAAACAATGAAAATAAACTTAAGCAAGGTGGCAATCTTCTGTGCAGCTGTTACCAGTAATTCATTGCAGTCAAGGGGAGTTCTGGGCCATATATGCCTAACCTGCAAATGGTTTTCCCAGTCATTCATTCTGGTGTATGGGGCAGTTTCAGCTGTGCAGTGTATCATGTCTACATGGCTCTCCATTTTCTCTATGGGACATAGCAAAGCAAGGCTCACAGTGCTATCCTAAGCAGAGTTACGAACATCTAAGTCCATTGATTGCACTGTCACTGTAGTTTTCTCTGGCCATAGGTTGATTGACATTCATATATCTTGGAAAAGATTGCTAAAATCCATGATTGTATATTTGTAGTAACGTTAGATACCCATGTGATAATAATATACACTAACTCATTTAGATCACTAGCTCTTACAGCAAACATAGAACTGTAACACAGAGAACAGGCTATTCTCCAAGCAGCAAGCATTCTTGTTTCTTACACTGTTAATTCTTAAGATGGCTTCTAATGGAACCGTTGCTCCTGGAATAGAGGTATTAGGGGTGTGCACCCCCCCTCCCAAAAAAAATTCGGGATTCCTGAAAAAAATTGAATTCTAATGCCAATATGGTATTTGGATTCAGATTTTTTCGGGAATCCTGAATTTTTGGGGGTTCATTATAGAACCGTTATAGTCAATGGGGAATCTATCTGGGGGTATCTAGGGGTCGGGGGGGTCTGTTTTTTGAGGTAGAGGCACCAAAAATTCAACATAGTTTCTGGTGCCTCTCCTCAAAAGACCCCTCAAGTTTCAAAAACATTGGACCAGGGGGTCCAATTCTGTGGCCCCCAAAGAAGGTGCCCCCATCCTCCATTATTTCCAATGGAGGGGAAAACAGCAAAAAAGCAGGGACTGATGTAAAACCAGAGTGTCTCTGCAGTAGAAACTGAAGGGGGGGCATTGTTGCCGAACCAGTGCCACCGTGGCAATGCCAGCTCAACAAATCCAAGCAAGGGGGGGTTTTCAAGCGTAGCGCAGCCAGCACATGTACAGTGCCGAGCAGTCCCATTGCAATGTAGTAGTGCCCAGCAAAACCCAGTGCCTTCCCTGAATTTTTTCCCCCTCCTCCACTAAAAACAGTGGAGGATGCGGGCACCTTCTTTTGGCACTCTGTACATGCACTGGTTCTGCTGGGCACTGGGCACTCTGTACAGGCACTCCGGGCACTCTGTACAAGCTTGCACACACACACACACACCTGCTTGGATCTTTTGAACTGGCATACTGGTTTTTGTGGGCACTCCATACATGCACTGGTTCTGCTGGGCTTGGGGGGGAAAACCATCCCCACATTGAGTTTCTACTGCAGAGACTCTTTGGTTTGACATCAGTTCTTGGTTTTTTGCTGTTTTTTCCCCACCATTGGAAACAATGGAGGATGGAGGCACCTTCTTTGGGGGCCCATAGAATTGGATCCCCTGGTCCAATCTTTTTGAAACCTGGGGGGGGGGGCTTTTGAGTAGAGGCACCAGAAGCTACATTGAAAATTTGGTGCCTCTATCTCAAAAAAACAGCCCCCCACACCCCTGCATACCCCCAGATAGATTCCTCTTTATAGCTTATGGGGATCATTGACTATAATGGTCCCCATAGGCTATAATGGAGCCAAAGGCATTTAAAGGTGTCATGCTTCCTTTAAATGCGTTCATGAAGCTACAGCTTCACCTAGAACAGTGGCTAAAGGGAGTGCACTCTCTCTAAACACCATTAACTGCGGCTCAGTAGCCAAACACACACACACACACCCCTCTATATCCAACTGAAAGAATAGCCAGTAAATACCAATAAGGTATTTTCTGGCTATTTTTTCGACTTGGATAGAGCCGAATGCAGGACCCCTAAGATAGTAAGATGCAACTCTGTATTTTTCAATATAAGCAGGCATTGTAAATTAGTATGGTTAGGCGGAAAAGGAATTGGTTGGACAATTGCACCTAAAGAGTGGTAGTTAATGGCACCTTATTTGATTGGAGGGTAGTATCTAGTGATATGTCACAGGCAGTGTTCCCTCTAAGCTGAGTTAGTGTGAGCTAGCTCACCGTTTCTTAGCCTCTGGCTCACACATTTTTGTCTTGGCTCAGGAAGGATGGCTCCAGAGCAAACTAATCTATGCAGTAGCCAAATTGCTTGCTCACAGTTTTAATGCCAGTAGCTCACAAAGTAGAATTTTTGCTCACAAGACTCCACAGCTTAGAGGGAACATTGGTCACAGGGCTTGGTTTTGGGCCTAGTGCTTCTTAATATTTTTATCAGTGATCTAGTTGAGGGTGTGAAGGGACTACTCATTAAATCTGCAGATGATACCAAATTAGGTGGGGTAGCAAACGCTCCAGAAAGCAGTAATAAAATACAATCAGTCTTGGATACACTGGAAAAATGGACAAATATGAACAAGATGTGTTTGTAAGTTTTTGCATCTGGGTAGTAAAAATTTCATGTACATGTATCCTGGATGGGGGATAGTCTTCTGGATAATAACATGCATGAATGGGATCTTGGGTTTTTGGTGAACTGCAAACTGAGTATGAGTAGCCAGTGTAATGCAGCAGCAGAGGCAAATGCTGTTTTAGGGTGTATCAACAGATGCATAGTGTGCAGGACGTGAGAAGCGATAGTATGATATGTGATAGTATACTGCACTCTTCAGACCCCACTTGGAGTATTGTGTCCTGGAGGCCTTTTTATAGGAAGAACATAGCAACTTTAGAGTAGGTGCAGAGGAGAGCAACAGCGATCCTTATGAGTTTGGAGACTAAGTGTCATGAAGAAAGACTGCTGGGATTCAAAATGGCCAGTCTGGAAGAGAAGAGGTGGGGGGGGGATTTAAAGGGCTGTCGTTTAGAGGAGGGTAGGGCACTAGCTCAGTTGGGGGTAGAGGAGAGAACTTGTAATAACAGGATTAAATTAGGGATGGGGAGATACCGGCAGGATTTTAGGGGGGGAAATTTAACAATAAAGACAGTTCAGTGGTGGAAACAGTTGCCCAAGGATGTTTTGGGTTATTTGTCATTGGAGCTGTGTAACCAGAGATTGGACATTTATTTGTCAGGGATATTTCAGGTCATCCTGCATGGTTCAGGGAGTCGGACTGGATGGTCTTTAGGCCCCTTATGATTTTTTTTAAAAAATCCAAAGAAGAGGAAAGAAAGGACTCCCATTTTCATGTATTTTTCTGAAAGGACAAGCAAGCTGTTCACAGGTAGAGAAGTCAATGAGTTGCATGAGAAGCTGCCCTCGTTCTAGTTAAGCTAGTGTGGTGTAGTGGTTAGAGTGTTGGACTGGGATCTAGGAGACCCAGGTTCGAATCCCCACTTGGCTGTGAAAGTTTGCCAGGTGACTTTGGGATGGTAACATATTATCAGCTTGGCTTGCCTCACAGGGTTGTTGTGAGGATGAAATAGAGAAGGGGAGAGCATTGCATGTCACTTCGAGTCCTCATTGGGAAGAAAGGTGAGGTTTAAATAAGGTAAATAATTCTGAAGAAGAGTGCATGCACACGAATGCTTTATACCTTGAATAAAACTTTGTTGGTCTTAAAGGTGTTGCTGGACTCAAACTTTGTTCTTCTGCTTCAGACGAACATGGCTACCCACCTAAATGAATCTCAGACAGTTCAGCATGGTAGGGATATCAGAGTTCCAAAGGGACACCAGTAAATTAGAGAAAGGAAGGCACGCAGGGTCTTGATGCAAAGTACAAAAGCCTTCTAAGTGGCCCCCTTCTAGCATGCTGCATGGGAGCTGGGAAACCTTGCCGCAGTGAAAGGCGGTGGGTGACTGCTGCAGCTTCAGAGCTGTGTTAAGAGAGCCACCTAGAGGAGAATTTAAATAAGCAGCTCCAGTGGGCCGAAGAAATCTCCTTTGCCAGTTTGCATGCATCCTCTTTCCTGGGAAATACTCTGTGACTTTGATTCTTCGTTCTTTGGTTTGCACATGACACTCCCCTCCAAGGTTAGTGAATCAGAATTCCAATTCCAGCCCAGGGTTGTACTGTGGCCAGCTGCTCCTCAGGTCCAGTAATTAGCTGGTCTTCCCACTGGGTAGGTCACTTGATAACTAGGGTTGCCATTTGCCACTTACCCACTGTAAGATCTCCAGGTAATTCTAGTGGCTACCTGCTGATGCTTACCTGGTCAGTGGGCAGAACTGACCAGCCAAACCTGGGGGGGGGGGAATATCTTTATCCCTGTGTGACAATGCGACTTCCGGCACAATCTGGAAGGGACAATGTTGCTTCTGAGTCATGCCGGGAGTCGTGTCATTGCCTGGGGATGACAATTGTGCCCCCCCCCCCCGGCAAGTTCCTGCTTCCCCCATCTCCTTATTAGATAACTGACAGCCACATTAGAAGCTCTCCTATGTAGCCTGTGATTTGCAGGCGTGCCCATAAAAGCACAACCCAGTTGTCTGAAGGCCTCCTCTTCTAACCACCTTCTCTCCTTTTCTTTGTAGAGGGTGAAAGCTGTTGCTGCCCCACGCGAACTGAACCGGTGGGCCAGGGAATCGGAAAGTGCTGTCCCGTTCTATCCTGCTGCCGTGGCCAACGGGGGACTGATCAAGCCAACTCATATCATCGTGGAGACTATGATGTGAGCTCTCTCTCTATGAGAGGAAGACACCTGCTTTAAAACTGCCGTTTACTAACCATAGAATCTCTCATAGGACCAGGTTTACAGAGCTTTATATTTGCACTAGGTTTATTTTTATTTCTCACAGAGAAAGTTATTTTTTGTGTGTTTTCGGTTTTTATTTTTTAATATTTTGTAAAGTAAATCACAGCAGATGCCTCTCACTCTATTTAGAGGCAGAATTTTCATATCAAATTAGGCACATTACAGGATTACTAGTTTTTTTTCCCCACACACACATAACATATCTAACTCCTATTCATCATTTCTGGCCACTTATGTTGATTTTCTTGCCAGCAATATACACAGGCGCGCGCGCACACACACACAGAGGGAAAAAATATGCATCTACAAATCTCATATATCTTTAGGTGCTGGTATGGTTGGGAACAGGGTAAAATTTTAAATTTATTTTTTTTAAAGCAAATCTTCCAGTGAAGGGATTTGCTTTTTTAAAAGATAGATAGCATGCATATGTTACTTTAAGAAGCTGGTTTTCAAAGGTGTAGCATTTTCTTCCTCTGGTTCAGGTGGGGAGACTTACAACAGGCAAAAGGGTACATGCTTTCGGGCTTGCTGTGGTCCGTGTCAGACTATAAGTGCAGGTGTGTAGAACTGGAAAATAGGGTGTAAGGTGGTAACAGTTAATGAACCAAGGGAGCAATCCGAGTGACAGCCATTTCTGAGTACAGCGCATGTGTGAACAGTCTGTACAAGGGTAAGAGGCATGCTTTGGAGGCATTTTTTTGCCCATTACTTACTTCTCTGGGCCACTTTCTAGATCTCAGAAGTCCTTTCCCAAGTCAGCCCTGTGCCTAATAATCTACCCCTGGAAGGGTTTACATGCCTCAGTCTCTGAGAAACACAATCATACAGCTGAGTTGCTTCAAAAAAAATGTTGGAAGACAAGCGTTTCTCTGAAAAGCACCTGTATGTCTGGTTGCTTTCCATATTATATTTTTAGACACGGGAGTGACTTGACATAACTCATTGCTAGACAGTGTCAGAAAGTGACCCACTTTTCATAGGCTCCTTGCTGTACTCAAGACAAACTGGTATTGACTTGAATTTTTTTAGAACACTAGGGTGGTGTCAAAGAGCACATATAAATGCTGAATTTACTACAAAGAAATGCTGCAAAAGTGCTGTGCAATTCCAAAAGTTGCTTAAAACTCCCAAATTTGCCAAAATTTGTTGTTATCAGGAAATGCAAAGGAATATTGGGCACTGTGACGATACCAGCCAGGCCAGGTTCCTAATTTCATAATGAGAACACAGCTGGAACCACTGCAGAGGAAGCTTTTATAGCGAGGCAGATTCAGAAGAAAAGAGATGGTTGTAGCTCTTAAATCGTGATCTCTAGAAGAGGAGGAGGAGGAAGCGCAAGGAGATGGACTGAGTTGCAGAGACATTTTAGTTTGGATAAAAGTGCAAAAGTACTTGAACAAGATTTCTATAGGTAAATTAAATATTAATAATTTTCCTACTTAACTTAGAAATAAGGATTTGCTTCTAGTAAACTCATGTCAGATTTTGCCAAGCCTGGGTTTTGTTGGTTTGTTTCTTTAATCATCCTCACATTCTGTGTTGGATAAAGTTTCTAGTCCCTTCTATATGGGCATTTTTCTTGGGAGGTGTCGCCTTCTGAATGAGTATTGGTACTAACTATAATATTGGAAGTATTAGAAGCCAGAAATAGCAGTTTTCACATATATATATATATTAAAAATAATCTATTGCCAGTTTAGTCTGTCAGTGACAGATGCTGTAGTATAAACTGGAGCCTAGCCAGTATTTAAACATTCCTAAATGCATTTTTAAAAAAACAGCCACAGCACATTGGCTATGCACTTGCTTACTAAGTCATGTCATTTTTTAAAAATAAAATGGAAGGGATATCTTCAAAATAAGGACCAAAGCACAGCAGTTTCAACTGTCTTGTACAGCGGATGTTTCCGTAGTTGGAGACTGCGATTTGTTGCACATTAGGGAGCTGCGCTTTCAGTAACGCAAATAGGTGAGATCAGGGTGCTTTTGTTTTCCAGTGACCGTTCTTACTATGAGATCTGTAAATCCAACACTGCCAGGGGTAGCTTGAGGATCATGCAAGTGTCCTCAGCAGACCCCAGCCCAGTGGTAATTGTTATCTATCTGCCTGCTGAAAAGCCTGTGAATACGTTAACCAGGAAAAGCAAGGCAGCTGAGAAGAAGTTACCATTTCCCTTAATTTCTGCTAGGGCACTGAGGAACATGTAGTCCAACACCAAAGCAAGGCTTCAATGTAATTCAATGAAATTTAGGTCAGATGCTTAATCTTTCATTCATTTGATCTGGGAATAAGAGCTCAGTCGGGAGGTGTTTTTTTTTTTTTTTAAAGTGAGGAACATCCTACTTCTCTTGACTTGCCTAGTGCATGTTGCCAATTTTGTTAACAATAATGAAAGGAGTTCAGAATTTCAAAAGCAGCCAATTCACCAGGTAAACATCTGTGTCAACCAAGGTATGCTTTGAGTAGAACAAACCAGAGAATCTCAGCACTGTTCCTGTAGAGTTCCAGCTAAGGCAGAGGAGAACCCAGTCCCATTTGGATAAGCTGTGCCATTAGAATCAGTTGCTTCCATGTCAGGCATGAAGAGGTTATTTATGCATGCACAGAGTGACCTTAAAAGATACTCTGGCTGTTTAGGCTTAACCGCAAAAGTAAAGCTAGGATTCAGGGAAAGAAGTTCTAAAATTACCATGTAACACAACCAGATTCAGTCCCAGTTTTCTGTTCTAAGGAGCACATTTTCACATCACACAGTTTCTGGATAATAGAATGTGGTAAATCTGAATGTCAATAACAGATTATGCCAAATTAAAGAGGAAGGGGTGGGGATGGTAGGGGAATGTTGTAAACAACTGCTTGTATTTTCTACTTATTTATGATTGTAAAAAAAGAAAAATCTGATTTTTTTTTCTAATTTACTTTGTAGAACTTTGTGGCCTATTTTATCTGTCATTTGTAACTGAGAAGTTAAATATTCAGTATTGTGACTGTTGGTGAGCTGGTCTGGATATTGGGGGGTGTGGGTGGGAGGGTGGAATCAACTGAGTGTTTATTCGAAGAAACACTTTCATTTTCCAAAAAAAGAAGTTGAGGCGGGGAGCACCTTTAATGCTTTGTGGGTTCCTTTACTGGTTTGGCTGAAATCCAGAACTAGCAAGGCATACAGGCTCATGCATAATTAAAATCAGCAGATTATACGCTTCTTTGCAGAGTAGTTGCAAGAGTTTTTCGAAACATGCATTCTGCTCTTAAGGAAATCTTCCAAACTGTCAACTTTCATTCATAATCTAATTGGATGTTATCAATAATATAACTAATAGTGTATATTCTACTGTTTATACCAAGTAAATGTGCTGTATTTATGCCTACTACTTACATCTTGACCCAAATCTTTGTATTTGGATTCTGGTCCAGCTTAACCCACAAGGTAGAATGAGAATTGGAGCACAAAAGTCCCAGCCAAAAACTTGAATGTTTTGTTACCGGAATTGTCTTGTGAGACAGGCGGGGGGTGGGAGGGCATAGAGAAGTGGTGGCTGGAGGGACAGGTGGAGGCACCAGTGCTTCCAGCAGAAGAAAACCTGTGGCAAATGAGCACAGCACTTAGCACAACAGAGAGCACAGCATTGCACATAAACAATGGAAACAACAGTCTGCTTAAAGAGGAACAGCTATACTCTGCAATTTGACCCTAGCCATAGTTCCTTGAAAGAAAATTGCATTGAGACTGATGCCACCTATTTGGGGACTGAAGGTGAGTGGGAACCAAATCCAGGCTGGAGTCCAAGGACAGGCCGCCTTACTAACACATAATGGGCCAAGTCTTCCACCACCAATAGCTGAAAACTCCCTGGCCTGTTCACAGCTGAGGCTCATCCTTTCCTCAGGTGGAATTCAAGCTTTCACTTAGGATTATTGATCGAGAAAGGTTTGGAAGTTGCCAGGGCATGACTGTCAGGATCCTGTATTGGACTGTTTGAATCTAGAGTGCAGACATATGTAGTTGTGCTACTTGCTTGGCAGTAAGACTGCAGTTTTTGATTGTAGGAGGCTGGGGTACAAATTAGATGAATAAATAAATAGTTTCATAGTCTGACTGTTGACGAAGCTAAGGGTTTTTGTACCTGTCTCTGCCCACTCCCCCTTAAAAAGGAACCACAGACACCCCAGGGATGCATTTTCACTCAAGCCAAAAGCACTTTGATTTAAGCCAGGTCTGTTAATTCCAATGATACACACAAGTCAACATTTAGGGGAAGGTCAAGTTTTTTGTGACTGGTGTCTTTGTCACACAGTAAAAACAACCAATTCTGGATTATCTGCTGAGACAAAAAGGGAGGGGGGGGGAGATAAAACTGCAAGCAACTAAAACCAGGCAAGAGAACTTGGAGGGGAAGAGAACTAAAACTGAAAAAGCACCCCCCCCCAAAAAAAAAAAAAAAGGTTGAGGGAAAAGGGTATAAGGAAATCTGTTCTTACAAGGCAATGATACATATACAAATAGTAATCTCACAGATGTTTATATCTCCAGGTTCCAGAATGTTTCATAAACACATTGTATCCACCAGAGCATATCTGTGGATGGAAGGATTTCCACCCGTACAGTGCAGAGATCTTGCTGCCCTCCCCACAGCAGCCAGTAATGCCCCCTCAATGTCAGCTTGCTATGAAATGCCAAGAGACTGCATTCCAAGGGACATTTGGGGCTGCAGTGGGAGGGGCGGAGGGAAGAAGGTAAGTTTTTCCATGGGTAAAACGCCTCCTCTCCTGTCTGCAGAAATGCTCTGGGAGGGACCCAAGCCTTGACCCTCAACATTATTACTTGCAAAACAGCCACACTACAGTCAATGTGATTTTTCCTCCCAGTAAGCAAGTTTAGGACGGCAACCTTAGTCTGATGGGTTTTTAGTGAAAGTTCTGTCAAAAAACTTATTTTTTTGGGGGGGGGGGTAAATAGGACACTGGGTAAGAGATCAGGTCTGGAGGGAAATTGTCCAGCACAAATACAATCACTGAGATATGAGCATTTATGCAGGAAGAGGGCCTTTGACAGACTGCTGGCTTCCTTTGTTTCCAACATGCAGCGCTGCAGAGGAGTCAGCCTGCCTAGGAACCGGTTTTGCTTGCTGTGCCCTCTGTTAAGTAGGTCCCAATAAGTTAGTTTAAAAGCTTCTTTTTTTTCTTCTTCTGGAGGAGCTGCCTGCCTGATTGATTCCCAAATGGCTGACTAATGATCAAGGGCAGGGAAGCAGTGCAGAAGCTGATGTTTCAGTGCTGACTCTACCAGTGTGTTTGTGTAACTTGTTTTAAGCAAGGAGAAGGTAGGTTGGGGGATTGGGGGTAAGAGAACAAAACGGCAGGCTGAGATTGTTCATCGATGTCTCCCCCTCCATCTGCCCCCAGGCAGTCAGTGCAGTGCTCTGATAACCTTTGCTATTGTCATAGAATGTTGCTGCTGCTGCTGTATTAATGCTGTTGCAATGTTGAAAGGAATGCATCTCCAGGGGCTTCACGGTTATTAGTAGTACAGACAAACCTTTATTCTGCTGAAAATATGGGTGAACATTTTTTTAAATTATTGTTTAAATTCACACCTCGTGACTACGGTCTGTAGCAAATAGCTGCGTGGATTTGAGAGGATGCCAGATGGTCCTCCTTCAAAAAAAATTTTAAAGTAATTTTTAAAAAGACATTTTAGACCCGTTGTCGTTTGTCATCATTATTGTTCCAATAAGGAATATTTGTATAGGATTAAACATTTGGAGTGTACCCTTGAAAATTAGGGGGTTTTGTGTATACAGTAAATGTTTGTATTTTGCAGTTTATCTGTTTTGCTTTTTAGATAAAGAAAATGTATATTGATATTTTAAAGTCATTTTTTTGCTTTTTTAGATGAGTTTGTAATCATCACAAACAAAAATAAAATCCTTTCCTCTACAATATGAGCCTTAGTGCTATTTTTCACTCCTGAGAGTCATAAGATATATACGATTTAAGAAACAGCTGTTTTAGAATATATAAGTAAAGTTGGACCTTCTCTTATGAATGTTGCTACTCCATTGACATTCATAAAATGTAGGGCAGCTTTCTGTAGCATCCCTCATTTTGAAGAGCAATAGGGAGTGTCCTGTTGGGTCAGACAGAGGGTCCATCTAGTCCAGCATCCTGTTTCCCACAGTGACCAACTGCCCATCAACATCAGTTCTGCTCTTCTGGGGAAAGAAGAATAAGTTCATTCATAATTTTATAAATGTATGTCTATCCTCATTCCCCACCCCAGTAATCCTTTCTGTTCAGCATTTTGATGCAGAGAACGTGCTGCTATCGCTTGACCATTTTGGTTGCTCTTCACTTTTTCCAGTACTGTGGTACCCTCTTTGAGACTGCAGATTCAAACTATACACTATATTGTACCTGACATCTGAACACAGGGCGATTATAATATCGGCCAGCTTGGTTTCAGCCCCTTTCCTAATGACCCTTAGAATAGAAGTTGCCATTTTCATTACTGCTGCACGGAGTTTTCATTTCACCATGACCTCAAGATATCTTGAGTCACACAAATCTAGTCCCATTCAGCGTATATATAAGGTTAGGGGGGTTTGTTCCAATGTGTATCATTTTACACTTACACTGAGACTCATTTGTTACATGGTCATGCAGTTTGCAAAGCTCTACATGGAGCAATTCAAATGCCATTTTGGTTTGCACCATCGTGAACAACTTGGTGTCATTTCAAACTTAGCCATATTGCCGCTTATCCTTGATTCGAGGTAATTTATAAACAAATTAAACAGCCCTGGTTCTAATATAGATCACCTCTGGGGACTCCATTGCTTACATCCCTTCATTGTGAAAATACCCATTTATTCCTGCCCTCTATTTCTAGTTTAACCAGTTACTAGTCCACAAGATAAATTGGCCTGGGCCTATGACTGCTATATGTACTCACACACCCACTTAACTTTATGTACCTGCTTATCAACATTCCTGAAAAATAACAAAAGCTTGGACAGAGCAGAACTTCCCCCTCAGAAAAATCAAGCTGATTCCTTCTCAACAGGGCATGTTCCTCTATATGCTTAATAATTATATCTTTAGTATATGATTTCTAGCAATTTACCTGGAACATACATTAGACTAACTGGCTTGTAATTTCATTGATGCCCAAAGATATTTTTAAAATGTATGTATTAATTTATTTAAATTTCTACCCCGCCCTCCCCACGAATGGGCTCAGGGCGGCTAACAAACAGGGGCACCAGGTGCCAATACATAAAACCACGTAAATCAGGATAAAACAGAATAAATGTTCAACAGTGAAAAATATTTTAAAATTCTCCACATAAATGTTATCAGGTATAACACCCTCAAACAAACCAGCCATCAACAACTTCAATTACAAGCCCTCCTGAACAGATTTTGAAAAGTTAACACTTTCTGAGCCTTCCTGAGCATGTCACACCACTATAGAAAGAGCTTTGAGTATGGACCATAAGAATACATACCAGCTTGTAACAGAACACAAGGAATAGGCCTTGGTCAGAGGAGTGCAGATGTCACGTAAGGGCACACTAGGCAACTAGTCTTGCAAATACATGTATTCTAGGCTCTAAAGAGCTTTAGAGGTTGAACCTGGAAACAAAACAATTCGGTTTTGGAATTGGTATGAGATTTGTAAAGTGCCCTCCTGTTAGTAAACAGTCAGCCGTATTTTGCACAAAGTGAAGTTTGTAAGCTGTATTCAAGGGCAGTCCCATGGAGAATGTATTGCAATAGTCTAGTCTTAAGGTTACTATGGTACATGGTGTGAGCTGGGCTAGGATGGCCAAGTTCACAAACAGAAGAAGAAGAAGAAGAAGAGATTGGATTTATACCCCGCCCTTCACTACCCAAAGGTGTCTCAAAGCGTCTTACAAACTCCTTTCCCTTCCCCTCCCCACAACAGACTCCCTATGAGGTAGGTGGGGCTGAGAGAGCTCTGACAGAAACTGCTCTTTTTCAAGGACAGCTCTGACAGAACTATGGCTTGCCCAAGGTCATCCAGCAGCTGCGAGTGGAGGAGTGGGGAATCAAACCCGGTTCTCCCAGATTAGAGTCCACACACTTAACCACTACACCAAACAGAACTAATTTACATGCAAAATGAAGTTGGAAAATATTTTTGCTACTGTACCCATTTTCTCTAGTAAAACAGCAAGACCCAATATGACCACATGGGAAGGGATAAATTAGCCATATCAAAGGTGTAAAGAGTAGTACCCACAAGGGCTTGGTCTTGTCAGAATCACCAGTTGCTTGTTTGTCCCCCTTTGGCCACTTGACCGCAGCAGACAGATACTGGTCTGGAACAGAGATGGCTGCTCTGCACTTTGATAACTAAATGGGTGTTTTCAGCACGCTCCAAAGCTATGGGTGGTCTTATTCAAAGGTTTCACACTTATGTTGAAAAGCATACAGAGCCCTGCAGATCCCTGCAGGATAAATCCTATGTTCATCTTTGAGTCATCCACGCAGCCCCACACTGGGACTTTACAGGCACAGCCCAGCTGTGGAGAGAAGATGCTAAAGCTTTCTAGAGCTCTTCACAACCGGGATGAATATCAAATGCCCTCCTTTTTGCTCCCTGGCCGCAAAGGACTCAAAAATCTTGGGGGGGGGGGGAGTTCTCAATTAGACACACCACATTTCTTCAAGTTTGTGTCCACCTGGTACCCTGTTGTCTCCTACTTACAAGCCCTAGACATTCTCCCCCCCCCCAACCCTCTCTATCTCAAGTGGTTAACTCTATAGGTTCGAATCTCTCCCATTTAGATACTACTGCTGTAGTTGGATGCACTGTGTTACACTGTATCTTTTCTTAATGCACTGTATGTTAAATTAAAATTAATAAAGACGATTAAAAAAAATCTTTGGGGCATGTATTTCCAATCCCCTGGTCGTGGAATCTGTTTATATGCCTTCCCGCCCACTCCTTTCTTGCAAATTTCATTAGAACAAAACTTGGCATTTTGGCCCCCACCAAAATTGGTTTTGGACACTTCAGACCCAATATTGCCAAGGGGCAATTTGTTCATTCTACCATTTTGCAAGGACTTTCTACGTAGGACTCCTTGATACATCACAACATAATCTCATAACATGCTACGTTCACTAGTATCTGAATTTTTTGTTACCAGTGGAGTGTATTAGGCAATTTTCACATCCACCGCCCCCTTTCACATCCACCCCATATTGAGGCAAATGATTCATGTTTTCTATATGGTCCAGTACTAAAGGTTTGCTACCGGCTGTTGTCTCCTCCCAGTTCTCTTTGAGTACCTGTTAGGCATCATGCCCTGGCCTCTACCTCTATCAAGATCCATTGGACAGCAAGTTCTGCTTCAGATAAACCTGTTTCTGGAAGATTTGTTTTTTCGCATCAGTTTGGTTGAATTATTTTTTTTCAAATTTAAATTTTTATTTTAAACAGTAAT